GCATAGTTTTGCAAAGCATCGTATCTTACATGTTTAGGCGAACAAAAGGGTCTCTATTTATTACAGGGAGGGGTGGAAGAAATGGTTGGTAATTGCTGGAGGTGCACTAGTAAGTATTGTTTTTCTTCCCTGTCTTAATTCCTTGCATGAATCGAACTGTAACTGTGGGGATTTGTGAGCCCTCTATCGAGAAGAGTGCTAAATCCCCTTGGAGGGAGGCCACTATGATTTAATGGTTGAGGCCTCTCCTATGATGTCTCCCTGTTGATGATACATGTACCCCAGTTCTACCCTTCCCCCTGGCCTGTTAGCCAGCCCCTTTTCCCTCCCCCTGGGTGGTCTCTTCCCTGCCTCTTTTCCTTGGGTCTTCCCCTATCCCTAGAACCTTCTCTTGTCCTTGGATCCCCATTGGTCCGAGTTCTCTAATCCCTCCCCTACCTTGAACGGATTTGCTCTAACACTCTGGACCCTCCTCTGTACCCCCCCCTGGCCCTAACCTCATTGGTCCTAGTTGCTCTCCGCCCCAGTACAAAACATGTTGCACAGCCCTGTTCTGGGCCCTTTGTTCCTGGACCCTTCACGAGTCAGAAGAAATAAACTCTCCTCATGGAAGCCATACAAAGGCCCCTTTCGACTCCTTGCCATTGACTCCAACTACTTCTATCTGGCTGTGTGAGTGTCTGTGTGGGTGTGTGGCGTTGTCCGAAGCGGCTTTCCTGGAGACACTTCTGGGAAGGTTGCGGCACCCTACCATCGACCCCGCGCCACATCATGTAACGAATGCTGTCCAAACCTCCCTTGAACTGAGCTTACAAAAGAAGCTAACTGATGAAAGAACTGAGAACCTCTGGGTGATGAAAATTGAAAGTCCAGAAGAAGACCAAAGCTCAGAAGCGGTGAAAGAAATACATGAAAACTACCAGAAGCTGTGAAAATTTTATCAGGATTATGAAGAGACTGTGTAATAGACTGCTGATGTGGGCTAAAAGCCTGATCAAAGTTTTAGAGGGGGGAATTGTTATAAGTGATCTTTTTGTTGAACTTGGCAGGTTAATTAAAGTTGTTATTACTAGAGTGTTAATTGATGTTAAGAATTACAAAGTTATGAGGGATAAAAGTTAACTATGTTTGATTATGGTGTAAAGTTGTTAAGATGATGGTTACTAGGATTGTTAAGGACTTTGGAATATTCGGGGTTGAGACTTGATTGGGTTCGGGTGAATGAGGGATTGGTAAGAAATATAAGGGGGGTCTTATGGGGGCCTGGAATAGAGCATTCAAGTACATGAACTAATGAAGATGCTGTGAGCACCGTGAGTAATAATTTGAAGAAGAGTCCACCAATCATTCAACATCCTGGACAAATGATTGGATCAGGATGAACGCTGCTATAAACCAATCAGAGCCCAAGAAAGTGACCAATCCCGGAGAGGATCCAAAACAGACCAATCCAGGACTAAGGGAGGGTATAAATCAGGATGCTGAGTGTTATCAGGGGCTTTTTCTGTTGGGGAACCCATTTCTATAGTTTGTTGCTATCCCAGTTTGTAGCGTGGGGCATGCAGGATTAGCCTGTGTCCTCTTTCGGCTGCAGCTCAGTCTTAATCAACGAGCCTGACTTGAATTTACATCAAAAAGTCTCCAGCCTCTTTTATAACATCTTGGATGAGTGACTCCCGCTCCATGTGCTATCCTCCATGCTGGGGTTCTTTTGGCAGGCAGTCTCTGGGCTGCATTACGGGTTGCGGAGCCTAAAGATGATTCCTGTAGCTGGGGCTTGGAGGGCCCCGGGCATTTGATGGATGCACCTTGTGGTAGCGGCTTGGGCGGTCGCTGCATGGGCGAACTCACCCACAATGCAGTCACAGCCACACTGGTGGAGGAGCTCCAGTGAATAACGGCCGCTGCCCCCTCGCTTTTTCACTTGCTACTCTGCCTCGCTCTGTGTCCTTGGCAGGAGTTTCAGCAGAAAATGGGGCCTAGCGACATTTCTATTGCCATTCATTTGTTATGCTGGACTTCCCCAGAAAGTCTGAAACTATTTTCCAAAGCTTTATAATGTTCAATCTGTGGTTCCAAGACCACGCTAGCAAGGCTAGCGATGTAGCAGCAAGGCTAACAAGGCCTGCTGTATATACTTTACTCCCAATTTAGGTAAAAGGAGAATCCATACCTTGACAATGAGTTTTTCTTCCAGTGAAAGATATCCTCATATTTCTTTGGTGCCTTTTTCTATTTCAAAAGGATATTTATCAAGGGGATAATTGACCTCAGGTCCCAGAGGGGAATCTGGATTAATTGGTCAGCTATTCATGCCGGTTTTGGTCAGCTCTTCACACTGTCTTTGGAGGCTCTTCCAGCTCGCCATATTTTTATACATCCTGTTGGGCTGTTAGGTCTCCCCTTGCACACCTGGCTGGCTGGCTGTGTCCTCACATCAGGGTCATCAGGTGATATGTGCGGTCATGGGTTGAAGACGGAAATCATAACGTGAGTACTCTCTTGATCATCAGACAAACAACGTGTTTCGTTGTTTATAACCTCCTTAGATAGTTGGTTCAAAACTCCCAGATCTAGACAATTGATTGGCCGAGGTTTTAGCACCACCCAGCTCCCTGACCAGTGCTGTGTCTGTTTTCTGGGTTGAACATCACTGGCTGAGGTCCCTGCTTGGGTCTGAATCCAACCCATCCCTGCCCCATCCAGGGATTTGTTTTATTTCTAGGCAGGTTGAATCTGGGGGTCTGATATGGCCAAATTTATTTGGCAGTTTTGAGCTAGCTGCCTCGGGGACACCAGACCAGGCCTGAGGCCATCCCCCCTTGCTGCACTGGGTCCTCTCCACTGCACCCAGCTGTGGCACTGGGTCCCCCCCACTCACTCCAGGAGCTGCACCAGGACATTCCCCACTCAGCCCAGGAGGTGACACCATGGCCAGGGTCACCTCCACTCCCAGTCTGGCACCAGGAGCCACCCAAATCCCCTCCCAGCCCAGGTGTCCCCAGTCCCTGGCACTCAGCCCTTTCAGCACACGCACACACAGCCCAGCTCTGGCTCCTGTCACTGGCTCTGGGTCAGCTTGGCCAGGGCAGGGCTTGGCAGAGTTTGGGCCTCTTCCCCTTTTGAGCTGCTCATTCCCAGCTGAGCAGCTCCAGAGCACAGACCCTCACTGGGATCAAACTTCTCAGCCCTCCATGTGTGTGACAGGCCAGCCCTGCTTCCCAGCGCTGCCTCCCTTGGCACCTGCCACTGACACTGGTTTCCCTGGGTGTTGTGGTTTGGGGCTTCCTGCCCTCTCTGCTGTCCCTGCAGACAGTGAAGCTGCTCCTGGAGCAGAGGCCCTGAATGGATCAGAGCCCCTGAATGGAGCAGAGCCTCTCTGCCACACCCCAGCTCCCAGACCCTCACCCAGTGTTTGCCAGGCAGCAGGGTCAGCACAAAAGAAACAGGCACCAACTTAAGGAAGAGGTGTCATTTACTATAATGCAAAACTGCCAAGAATCACAAAAGGATGGCAATCTCAGCAAGGCACATCATCATTACTACAAAAGATTGCATACAGTGAGATGACACACATTACATCTCCAGTTACCCCAAGACTTTACCATCCTCCAGCTCCACACATCAGCTGGGGAGCCCCTGTCACAGTGAAGGAACGGAGAGTCCCTCTCGGTAACTGGGAATTACTGTGGGGTGTCCACCTGCAGGCAACGAGGCTTCCAACTGCACTGTGAGAGGGTCCTGTTCTTATATTGTTCAATAACCAAGCTGACATCACTTCTAGGGCAGGAACATCTCGTTTCTTTTTCCTCTTGGGTTCCTCCCAAAGCCTGGCCTGGGCTAAAGCAGGAACCAAGGGAGTTGTCTTTGATCCTACACCCCAAACAAGGAAAAATGTCGGATTTCATGGATCTTGTCCCATTTGTAAATATGGAAAGATAAATGCATGTTTCACTAATGATCACATTCATAGATCATATTGTTAATGATGCTTCGCTAATAAGCAGCTACATTTATCATATGGCTAATAATGCTTCCCTAATGAGTGGATGCACATCGCTTTTGGTGGAAAGGTTCACCCACTGGGCAACTTTGGCTCAGGGCCTAACGTTCAGGCCTCAGGCAGGGCCCATTGTTCAGGCCTTGGAAATTCACCCAGTGCCACCCCCTGTCCCCTGCCTGTCTCAAGTCACCCCCAGCTGTGTCTGTCCTGAACACAAAGGGGACACAGAGCAGGGAGGTCCAAATCAACTCCTTTATTAGCAGAGCCTGCAGGGCATGAGGCTGAAGCAGCCCTTCAGCCAGCTCTCCAGCAGGGCTTGGCCCTCGCATTGCCAGCGGGGCTGCAGCACCTGCACAGCAAAAGCCCCCATGCCTGCCTGGGCCAGAGCCAGCTGGTGCCACCTTCTCCAGAGCACGGCTCCAGTGCCACCAGCCTGCCTGGACAGCACCAGCACTGCCCCGAGGGCTGCTGTGGAAGGTGCTGGCAGGCAGGATTCTCCACATGGGGCATTCCCAAGGCTTTCGTTCAGCAGTGAGGCCAAGGGCAGGAGCATCTCCTTGCAGGCCTGAGGGCTGCAGGGAAGGGCAGCAGCCCCAGGCACCTGAGCAGGAGCGGCTGCCCTGGACAGAGACACAGCACCTCCGAGACTGGGAGTGAAAGCACTGCCTGAGCCCCGGGGCCATCGTGTCCCTGCTTTCCTGAGCCCAGAGGCACAACAGCTCCTGCTGGGAGAATGGCCTCAGTTGATCCAGGAGGCTGCAGTGAGGGAGGGAAGGATGACACCCAAAAGCCAATCAGCCCAGCTTGCAGCCAGCGTGGAGCTGGCCTCAGGTCCTGCAGCTCTTTCTCCGAGCAGGACACCTCCTTGCTGCAGGAAAACTGCCTTGGGGGCACTGTCTCTTCTGTCTCACAGCACCTGAGCCAAGGGGTGCTCTGAGTGCTGCCTCTGCCCTTGCCCTGGCCCTCGGGCTCAGGCTTGGCCATGAAGACAATCGCCACAAGGAGAGGCTTTGGTTTGGCTCTAGGACAAAGCAGAGGGAAATGTTTTTGGCAAGAAGGCAAGAGGATTCTGGCTTTCTCATCAAGCAAGGGAGTTCCTGAGCGACAGCCACAGTAACGCGCCTTATTTCACCAAACGTGGGAGCAGTTGGATACCGTTGTCTTCAGTGGGCTTGAGAACATCATCATTGTAACTGAATTTGTGGAGAGCCTGCGACAAAGTTCTCCTGAACTGCAAAGCCCTTGTGGTTCTTCCTTCCCATGGATGTGGCCTAACGCCTGTCCAGCTCGGCCAATGCTTCCTGCTTGGTAATTCTCTGCCATGCCTCAGGGATTTCTCCTTTGCCCTGAAATTTACCATTGTACAAGGCTTCCAGCTGTGCCCTGAAATGAGACACACACCATTTCCAGTACGCCTGCATGGATGAATCAGGAAGAATGTTCCAATTGGAAAAAGGAGGTCCAGCATCACGGTATGTCTTGCAGGGGATCCATTCATTGTCACCAACTCTGAATAAGACATCGCTTGCAACAAGGCTGGAACAAATATCAATGACCAGCTCTTCTGTCTTATAATACTGACCTCCCACCAAAGCTTCTGGGCGATGGAAGACCAGCTGATGTTTTCCATCATGTCCCTGCATGGTGTTTGTGCAGACAGCCCCACAAAATGGACACTGCTCCCAGCACCCCGAAAACTGCTCCACCAGGATGGTGTGAGGCTGTGTTGCAAACAAGCTCATATCAGCACCAGCAAATTCTTTCCTGAGCCTGTCCCTCAGGTCATCCAGAGCTTCTGCCATGGCACTGCTCAGGAACTCAGTATCTTTGACCTCTTGGTGCTCGATGCCCTTCAGGTCACTTCTGGGCAAGTTGATCACTTCTGTCAGTTCCCTGCAAAATTCATCCAGCCAAAGAGAGACATTGTCTTCTCTGTCTTTTCTGTCTTTGACAATTTGGGTTGATAAAGAAACAGCTGACAGGATGTTTCCATACAGAAGATTGAGTGAGCAATCTAAAAACTTCTCCAGATTTCCACTCTCACCTAAACAGTAATTCTTAACTCGTGTTTCAATGTATTTCTGAAAAAATTCTTTTGGGAAATTAAGGTATTGTACGAAATACTCAAAATTTTCTTGTTCTGCCAGGTATCTCAGGATGCAAATTTCCAGATTGGCTCTGTTGCCCCTGAAATCCGGGAATTTGCCCTGCATGTCCTCAGCAATGGCTTTAGACGTCCTCTCATAGACCGCCCGGCGAAGAGCCGCTTCAATCTTCTCACAAAGGAAAACAGCAAAAGTTGTGACTGAAGTGGCTCCTTGGCAGGACATCTGGAAACATTGGAAGAACTCTTCTCTCTTGCTGCTCAGGTACACAACTGGGTCATTTGCCTTTTGGAATGCTTCATGCATGGCTTTAAACCTTTCTGCTGCCATTTTGCACAGATACAGAGACAAAGCTATGCTGTACTCTCTGTTAAAAGTACATTTGGCATGGCTGGGGACAGAGTTCACACCGTTGTGTACTTCATTGAGTATTTCATGGATAAAATTTCGACTGTAATCCCGTTTCTCCTGTTCCTTCTTTTCAATGTTTGCCTTCACACACACTATGATGTTGTCTGTGATGTGCTGCAAGTTGATTGCATCAGCATCAGAAATCTTCTTAGTGAAGAAATAAAAATATTTTCTTTTCATGACATGTTTCTCTAAGTCAAAAGAAAATCCACTGCCTTTGGGAAACGATGTGATCCGTGCATGGAAACCTGGCTCCTTAAAGTGCTCCAGAAGGACTTCTTCGATGTCTGAATCAATATTCACCTGTTCCAGAGGACGAGCAGCACTGGAGACTTCGGCAATCCACTTGTTCCAGACAAGAGTGAAGTTGTCCCTCAGTTCTCTCTCACTCAGGCTCTTCCCTTTCAGAGTCACAGCCAGCTCCCTACTCCTTCTCAGGAGCTCATCTTCATATTCCAACTTCCGTGCATCCAGTTTCCTCTGCTCCTTCTGTAGCTCTATAAGACTCTCACATTTCTTCTTCGTTTCATGGAGAAGAGTCTCTTTTAGTTCTTTCAGCTTCAGCTCTGTGCCTGATTTCCACTGGACCAGTGTCTCATGGTCTTTGTCTTCCCTGAAATACTTCTCCACTTCTTTCTCAATGCCATCACTTGTCTTTTGCACCAGCCCTTCAAGGTGTTTTCTGGTGACATTCTGCAAGTCCCCATTCCGAATTCGGTTGTCCAGTCTCATCTGTACGTCTAAGATGTGACTCCTCAGCTTCCAGGTCCACCGACTAAAGGCGCTTTCCAGTTTCCGGTACACAGCAATCTCCAAGGAATTCTTGAAGCTGAAAACAAAGTTTTCA